GGGGTTCAGGTCTGGTGAGTTTGCTGGCCACTCAAGCACACCAACACCATGGTCATTTAACCAACTTTTGGTGCTTTTGGCAGTGTGGGCAGGTGCCAAATCCTGCTGGAAAATGAAATCAGCATCTTCAAAAAACTGGTCAGCAGAAGGAAGCATGAAGTGCTCCAAAAGTTTCTTGGTAAACGGGTGCAGTGACGTTGGTTTTCAAAAAACACAATGGACCAACACCAGCAGATAACATTGCACCCCAAATCATCACAGACTGTGGAAACTTAACACTGGACTTCAAGCAACTTGGGCTATGAGCTTCTCCACCCTTCCTCCAGACTCTAGGACCTTGGTTTCCAAATGAAATACAAAACTTGCTCTCATCTGAAAAAAGGACTTTGGACCACTGGGCAACAGTCCAGTTCTTCTTCTCCTTAGCCCAGGTAAGACGCCTCTGACGTTGTCTGTGGTTCAGGAGTGGCTTAACAAGAGGAATACGACAACTGTAGCCAAATTCCTTGACACGTCTGTGTGTGGTGGCTCTTGATGCCTTGACCCCAGCCTCAGTCCATTCCTTGTGAAGTTCACTCAAATTCTTGAATCGATTTTGCTTGACAATCCTCATAAGGCTGCGGTTCTCTCGGTTGGTTGTGCATCTTTTTCTTCCACACCTTTTCCTTCCACTCAACTTTCTGTTAACATGCTTGGATACAGCACTCTGTGAACAGCCAGCTTCTTTGGCAATGAATGTTTGTGGCTTACCCTCCTTGTGAAGGGTAAGTACGTCTGACGTTTTTCTTTAAAATTAGCATTTCTTTCTGGCTACTATGTATAGGTATCTATGTAAGTACTGGTACTTCTGAATGGGTTGAGGCTGGGAATTAGTGCATTTGAATATAGTGCATATATAGGTGCATCTCAATAAATTAGAATGTCGTGGAAAAGTTTATTTATTTCAGTAATTCAACTCAAATTGTGAAACTTGTGTATTAAATAAATTCAATGCACACAGATTGAAGTAGTTTAAGTCTTTGGTTCTTTTAATTGTGATGATTTTGGTTCACATTTAACAAAAACCCACCAATTCACTATCTCAACTAATTAGAATATGGTGACATGCCAATCAGCTAATCAACTCAAAACACCTGCAAAGGTTTCCTGAGCCTTCAAAATGGTCTCTCAGTTTGGTTCACTAGGCTACACAATCATGGGGAAGACTGCTGATCTGACAGTTGTCCAGAAGACAATCATTGACACCCTTCACAAGGAGGGTAAGCCACAAACATTCATTGTCAAAGAAGCTGGCTGTTCACAGAGTGCTGTATCCAAGTATGTTAACAGAAAGTTGAGTGGAAGGAAAAGGTGTGGAAGAAAAAGATGCACAACCAACCGAGAGAACTGCAGCCTTATGAGGATTGTCAAGCAAAATCGATTCAAGAATTTGAGTGAACTTCACAAGGAATGGACTGAGGCTGGGGTCAAGGCATCAAGAGCCACCACACACAGACGTGTCAAGGAATTTGGCTACAGTTGTCGTATTCCTCTTGTTAAGCCACTCCTGAACCACAGACAACGTCAGAGGCGTCTTACCTGGGCTAAGGAGAAGAAGAACTGGACTGTTGCCCAGTGGTCCAAAGTCCTTTTTTCAGATGAGAGCAAGTTTTGTATTTCATTTGGAAACCAAGGTCCTAGAGTCTGGAGGAAGGGTGGAGAAGCTCATAGCCCAAGTTGCTTGAAGTCCAGTGTTAAGTTTCCACAGTCTGTGATGATTTGGGGTGCAATGTCATCTGCTGGTGTTGGTCCATTGTGTTTTTTGAAAACCAACGTCACTGCACCCGTTTACCATTATTCATTTTGGAGCACTTCATGCTTCCTTCTGCTGACCAGCTTTTTGAAGATGCTGATTTTATTTTCCAGCAGGATTTGGCACCTGCCCACACTGCCAAAAGCATCAAAAGTTGGTTAAATGACCATGGTGTTGGTGTGCTTGACTGGCCAGCAAACTCACCAGACCTGAACCCCATAGAGAATCTATGGGGTATTGTCAAGAGGAAAATGAGAAACAAGAGACCAAAAAATGCAGATGAGCTGAAGGCCACTGTCAAAGAAACCTGGGCTTCCATACCACCTCAGCAGTGCCACAAACTGATCCCCTCCATGCCACGCCGAATTGAGGCGGTAATTAAAGCAAAAGGAGCCCCTACCATGTATTGAGTACATGTACAGTAAATGGACATACTTTCCAGAAGGCCAACAATTCATTAAAAATGTTTTTTTTTATTGGTCTTATGGAGTATTCTAATTTGTTGAGATAGTGAGTTGGTGGGTTTTTGTTAAATGTGAGCCAAAATCATCACAATTAAAAGAACCAAAGACTTAAACTACTTCAGTCTGTGTGCATTGAATTTATTTAATACACAAGTTTCACAATTTGAGTTGAATTACTGAAATAAATGAACTTTTCCACGACATTCTAATTTATTGAGATGCACCTGTATATGAAGTTTTACAAGAAAAATTAAGTCTTTCAACTTCAAAATTTCATGTTTAATGCAATGTGTCTTCTTAATTCTTTGTGAAATTTACTACCAATTTCTCAGTGAAAATTGTTTCGACACCAAATTATTTTCACTGTACTATAGTCTTAAAAGGTTTATAGACAACTGTTAAAAATCTGTTTTCTTAATGGCAAAGTGAATGGGATGAAAATGAATTCATTCCAGTTGCACTCTATATGGTTTTTCACAGTGGTTGAGCAGAAATTTGGATCTTATATTGATTTCAAACACTAAAAATGACATGAAATATGACAGAATCTGATCTGAGAAACAAGCTGTATGAGATATGATAAATCCATTTAAAATGAGTCTGGGCTTTCTGGAAGTAATGCCCATGAGCACACTAATGATTCACAGATAAATAAATTCACACATCCCACTCTTCACAGAACTGAACCATACAGCCCGTACATTCTTCCCAAAGGAATACCTGTCTCGGAAGCAGAATTTCCAGAAAGCGGTCTGTGCAAAATGGCCTCTTCCGAGCTGCCGTAAACTGTTTCGAATTTTTGGAGGTCAATCAATTTTTTCATCTATTCCACTTATTTCCCCTTCAGATTCAGTTGTTATTCTTCATATGGTAGTAATGCTTACTGTTCTTTGTCTTGCTCTTTTTTCTCTCCCACTCTCTCTTTCTTAGGCTTTCAAAGGCAGGCAAGTCCAATCGGCAGACGCCAGTTCCCTCACGGGGGCTACCGGCTTGATGCCTTCAACTTTGAGGATGATTCGCATGGCTGGCGATTTGACATGGACATGGTGATCATCTACTCCGTCAACTGGGTCATTGGTTTCATTATCTTCTGCTATTTCTTCTTCCTCTCTTTTTAAAGAGAAGGCACAGGGAAGCTGTCTGCGCTGTTTCAGATCTTTTAGGACAATACAAAAGTCGGGAAGAAGGGAATCACGCACTGCAGCTGTTTCTGGACTATGTGTAGGAAACACCAACCAGTCACAGAGAGAAAATAATTCATACAGAGAGAAAAGAATTCATGCAGCTAAAATTGAGTGTGATGATCCGTTTACTGTAAAGATGAATCATGATTTTTGAGTTTGTGGTTTGCCTAATATCTGTTTGCTTTTAAACAGAATTTTGGCTGACTGCGTGGAGAAGCTTTGCATGGATAATCACAAGTGGACTATTCATTTCACTACAAGTTGTATTCACATGCTGTATTTTCAGGTCTTCTCTAGAGGTTTGTAAACTATCCATAACTACGGGTCAGCTTCTAAACTATTCATAAAATATGCTGAGAATAATAACATATCATTTGTTTTTAACCTTTCTTGCTTGCTTTTACAGCATTTGTAAATTTGCCATAATGGTTATTTGTCTGGTATCAATACCTAATACTCCATTTGTTGTCTTAGATAGACTTTTGCAACACAATATATATAAATAAATAAA